TGTAAACAGATAAACAAAGTCTAGATCTGCCCTGTGTTTATGATTGGCGCGACGATATAATTGCCTCTGTGTGTATATAACATGACATGCCTCTGCCTAGTACATTCACATTATTGTTAATTCATATTTATAAAATTTATTTTCGATTTTTTTTAAAGGAATGTTTGTTTTGCTGAAATTATAGCACAACTGTAGAGGGTTAATGGGGATGAATGAACGATTTGCAAAACATAAATGTAAAATTGCTCATCGCATAATTAAAATAAAACGATCGAATATCCTTTGGCAAACACTCGATTTTACAACGTAGGGAAATTGAATGTGTATAATGGAAAGTTGCGATTTTTTATTTTATTACTTTCAATATTCGGGAATCACGGTCTTGGCAAAATCAGTTATGCTGGTTGTTCATCCTATTATCCATTTCATATCTGCTTTAAATAGAAAAAATAAAACAAATGTGAATGAAATAAAACGAATGTCTTTTTCGTTAACAATGAGTGAACCAGCATCTATTTCATTTAAAAGCACGATAAACCATGCACTTTCATCAAATTGCCGCGTTCAAAACAAATGGCCCAACAATTAGCAATCACAAGATCAAAATATCTATCTACATATCCCATTCAACCATTCAATCAATCAATCCATTTTAACACATTTTAACTACATGTAGATATTCATAATTTAAATTCTCTTTTTAAAGAAAGGGTGGCCCTGAAAAGGGCCGTTTGACAGGCGTGTTGCTTGCGTTCTTAGCTGCTCGGAGAAATAGGATCCACTTGGTGACTACTTGGGGGACTTGTTTTAAAGTCCTGAAAAGGTCTGGTTTAGCCCTGAAAAGGGCTGTGGACGATTCGTTACCCAAAGTATAAGATTATGTGTTTAATGAAAGCAAAAGAAATTGCCGAAAATATATTATAAATTTACAGGAATGCAAAATAGAGTTGTTATTGTCTGATTGACAACTTAAATGCCCTAAGGCGCGGTTAATCCATCAAATGACAATGACGTGTCGCAAAAAGGTCGCGCACGCATTGTTACACATTTTCGCTTTTTAACACCACAAAATGTGACGTTTTTTGAGAAAAATGTACATATATTGAAATCCTTTCGTCCTCCACATTTGCCTCTACATCTCAAAATATTTAAGGCGAATAACTCTGATATCGTATATGTATTAGCAATGGGATAGGAGCATCATAAAACACGAATCAATTGATATTTTAGGTGAAATAAATATACGTGTTGCTGTGCTTGAAAATAGGCGAATGGCGTAAATTAGCCCTATTTTAATGAATTTTGAAAACCTTTCGTCCTCCACTTTTCCACATACAACTGAAAACACATACTTTTGCGAACAAAATCAACTATTTATTAATAAACTTGAGTTTAAGAGCAAAATAATCATGTATGATTTATTAAAAATTGATCTCGTATTTTTTGTTTAATGTACACCTGAAAAGTTGAAGGTAACAAAAAATGAGCAAAAAGGTCGCTGTCAACAGATTCTACGAGATTTACGCATTATGAACTCATCTTAGAATATATTCAAACAAATAGTAGTTTCCCTATAGTTATTTCTCTATAGGCTATCGTCTGACTTTTTATTTGAAAGAACGGAAATTTTGAATATACAAATGATCTCATTTCAAATGGCAACAAAGTAAAATCTTGGCACAAGGGCACAAATGAATTGTTTAAAACATTTAAAACAAGGAAAATCATTAACCTTGAGCATTTGAATCTTATAAAAGCGTTTTAAACGGCCTTAAGATTATACTTTTTGGTTCCCATGATTTGACATCTTTAATCAATTAAATATCTAGAAAAACAATATCAATTGACATTGGACAAAGTCTAACAATTCATGAACAAATCAAACTCAAATTCATTAGAAAACCGGAATCAAATGTTTTAAATTAAATCCAAGTTAAACATGGGTATTTCCAAACATGGGTATTGTCAAACTTATCCCCGATTTAACAATGATGCAAAAAGCCATCCTTTGATCATTAGGTTTATCACAAGATCAGATTATGTGGATTATAAAATTAAAACTCTTAAAGAATAATCCCTTGTCATTGATACTTCTCTTTAAACCAAACTCAATATTTGGAATATACCTCTCTGTATAAAACATATACTTAGGCCCGTAGCCTTAGGGGGGTGAGGGTTGCTCGCACCCATCGTGATTCCTGCTATTTTTGGACCAAAATTGTCACAAGTGAACCCCGCCTGGATTTTTTCAAAAAGTGACCCCCGCCCCTTTGCAAATCCTGGCTACGGAATTGTTACTCTTTGGTTTAAAATAAAGGTTATTGTGCTTAGCGCCTGTTTCGAGATTCGCTTGCAAAATTAAACCCTGATTTAAAAAAGAAGGTACGATGAAAAAATAGCACATTACGCCGAAGGCAAAAATGGCCATTAAACGACCAAGTATGCCCAAAATATACTCAGATGTAATTATTAGTAGGTGATTATGAAATTATTTCATTTTCCAAAATTTAGAGTGAAATGGATTTTTACTTCTTATTATCAAAGAGTAAAAATCTACTTTTTTACATTCTTGTCACTTTTTAAGCTTGCTTAAGGTAGGATTAAGTAATGACACAGGTGAAGTTTCGTGAAATCATCAATTTTGCCGTATAACCCAGACCTATTTTTCTAAAAGTTATTCTTAATTTGGATTTGTCGTGAACAAAATTCTTAAATTTTTTCATTGAAGTGAGGTGACGTTTCTTTCAAAATCAAGCAGTTTTTGCAAAAAAAACTTGTGTAAAGTAAAACGTGCCTTCCTTGTATAACAAAAATGGTCACATATTTTAACTAATTTTTTGAAGAATCGTCATGTTATTAAAAGTAATCTAATAACACGAAATTACCTTTGCATACCTTTGAAATACTCCCTTTGCATTGCGACAAACAACACACATGGATACAATTATAAGAACTGTAAGTTATCGATATAAATTAATTTATTCTTACAAGCAGTAACTGGTGAATTACTTTTTTCTATTGGATTACTTTTTTCTATTGGATTACTTTTTTCCATTGGCATTATGATATTAGAGTAAATACATGTATATTTGATTTTTTGGTCACAACTAAAAATGCCCTTTTATGTATATGACTACATTTTCCCACTTGTTACTAGTAAAATAGAAAATGAATATCTACAAACCAAATTAATCACGTGCAATTTATATCTCATCGACACTGAGTCACAAATAGTTGTAATTTAGATACGTCGATTCTGGCGCAATTTTAGTATTTATATGTTACCAATGACTCGTTTGTCAAACCTGAATTGATTGAACATTTAATGAGTTTCCGGGTGTCAGTGATAGCAAAATACTCTGCCTTTTTACCAGGATATTGATATTAATAAAACGGTCATAGGCAAAGGAATAGTTATGTACTTTTACATAGACTAAGCCATTTATCTAGTATGACATACATTGATAGATGAATATGTAAACGCAATAACCAAAAGTAAAATGCAAAATATGTATTAAGGGAAAACTGTAAAACAAAGAAATATGAACACACCTATCAAGTTTAGCTTATAATTTAAATATTTCATATACTTTGCTGTTTCCTTTTTGATATTTCTTCATGGTTGTTTCCAACAAATGTACATGCAAGAATACCATCACTAGGATCTATCAATAGTTTATAGTAGTATTCTATACTGTGCGAATTTTTGATTAGGTTTTCAAGTGGTTAGCTATATGGACTGATTGAGTTAGTTTTGAAATATCAAAGGGGATAAAAATACTCCCACTCTTAACGTTTATGACGACGAAAAGACTGATTCAATTCAAAGGAAATTACAATATCATTTCGATTCATATTTCCCAAGTGGAGCGCATTTCCTATGTATTCACATTTATCCGAGAATCGACGGTCCATAATATTTGGTATTTTAGGTTAATTTTGTATATTTGTTTAAGTCTATAGCAACGTCAAAATATTACAAAAACATTAAAAATATGGCGTTCATTGTGCTAAATAATGCTAAACTGCCATCGTCATCAAAACCTGACAATATTGTTTGAGCAAGCTAACGTTACAATGTCTAAAACATATTCTTTCCCTGTGTACGCTAATATCAATGTCCAATGTCATAATGTCAAAAACATCCTTCTCTGTGTAAGCTTATGTTAACTTCATAATGTAAAAAACATATAGGTCCCGGTGTAATCTAATGTTTTCAGCTTCAAGCACTTTTAAAAAGTGCTCACTTATTTGATACTGAAAGTAGTTTGACCTTTCTGGTGACAAATGTCGATCTATGTCTGGAAATCATCAAATCTATCTGTATGACATTTAACATTGACATTTAAAAATCAATATTGAGGGACCTTTGTTCAACGATCACTGGTCAATCTAGTATTAATTAAGGATTTAAGTCTTGGACTCAGTGAATTGTGTGCTGAACCATTCCACGAAGATGTTGTTTCAAAATCTTTGCATGACCCGGCAGGGGAATGCGAAGTTTAGGAAACAACATCTGAGTGGAATGAAGCAGTTACAATGCATTGCGTCTTGGGCTTAAATTCTTTTCACACATTGCAAAATATTTTTTATAAAATCACCTAAAACTCAATTTCAATCTCAATCGCTTAGCAACTGTACACAACACATGTGTTATTGATATTTCACACACTGTTCATTATGTGAATACTCTGTTCGGATTGGCTGAATTCGGACACACCTTGCCTATCTATGTGTGAGTTATGGATTTAAGCCTTGGACTCAGTGCACTGTGTGCTGAACCATTCCAAGAAGATGTTGTTTCCAAATTTTTCAATATGTGAATACTCTGTTCGGATTGGCTGGAATCAGACACACCTTGCCAAGCTACGTGTGAATTAAGTATAACATGTTTGCAAATAAGAAAAACTCAAATTTCCCCACGCCATTAGGCGCCACTACATGTCTGACTTTAATTTGCTAATCTAATAGTACTATATATGCCTGGCTTTATTTTTCAGATGCCATGAGGAGGTCCACAATCTTCCCCGTGATCGCCTTACTCGTCATCCTGCTAGCTGTTATATTATGTTTCTTGGGCCATTGTAACCAAAAGAAAAAAGTTCTGACATTTTTGTCAGGCATATTCTTTGTCGTTGGAGGTCAGTACTTTTCATTTCACTAAAATAAGCTATATTTAATCTTTAAATGTGTTCCCTGAAATATTATCTTATATTATATGACTTATATGGAATATGGAAACTCGAAATGGAGCGACCTTACATTTTCATATCATAGCGACACGAGTGGGTAGCGAATGATCACAGTATCATTAGAAGTAGCTTTGTTTTGTCTCTTACTTTTATCTTCCAGCCAAGTTTACTTTTTAATGTCCTCTGGCGATTAAAATCATTACGTTCTGTTTATACTGGAACAAGTGGCTTCGAGGATTTTTTGGAGTCAATTTGATTAAAAAAGGTGAATTTCGTGACCTATTGACCGACTTTAGATTAGTTGAAAATCCAAATCCAAAGATCGGTTTTTAAAAATCTACGGAATTTTTCTCTCCATGGTCACGATGGTTGTTATGAGAAACGTGATGGCTTGAAATAGGTATAAATTTGATGATATTCATGTTGACTCATCATAATCCTTGATCTTGATAATGAAAAAATGCCATTTTATTATGTCTACAGATTCAATCAGTTATATATTTACAAGTCATTCAATTACGCGATTGTATCATACACGAGGCCGGCCGTTGTATGTGACCATTGATCACCACTAGACACAATGCGTGACTAAAATGCAATGATAACCATGCTAGATTCTAATCGAGTTAATTGAAATCTACAAATCTTGTATGATTATTACCGATGCACAAAACTGAATAATCGCACACATTTGTAATCTAAAAAGCTAGCTACATATAGTCTTAACTTGCCCAAAGCGCCTGTGACTTCCCACACACACCTGGAAGTGAAAGGAATCAGGGGTCCAAAGGCTCATTGAAACACTTACGAACTACGACCTTGTGATAATCTGTACAATATAAAAAAATATCATTTTATTATGTCTACGGATTCAATCAGTTATATATTTACATTCAATTACGCGATTGTATCAGACACGAGGTCGGCCGTTGTATGTGACCATTGATCACCACTAGACACAATGCGTGCCTAAAATGCAATGATACCCATGCTAGATTCTAATCGAGTTAATTGAAATCTACAAATCTTGTATGATTATTACCGATGCACAAAACTGAATAATTGCACACATGTTTAATCTAAAAAAGCTACTATAGTCTTGCCCGAAGCGCCTGTAACTTCCCACTTCTCACACACACCTGCAAGTGAAAGGATAGGCTCATTGAAATACTTACGAACTACGACCTTGTGATAATCTGTACAATATAGCATTAGAAACAATTGCGATGGTAGATACATCGTCAGTGAGTAAATGTGGACCAATATTTAAAAAAACCTTGACTTTTGCAATATCTTAACAAGGCCGAAATGCAATTAACCAATGTGTCCAGCGTCCATTATTGGATCAATATCTATTCCACTGTATTCACCATATTTTCTTTTTTGTAGGTTTGCTCGTCTTAATCGGAATTATACTATACATAGGAGCTATAACAGAAGAGTCTGGGACGAAACCTAAGGGGACATTAAACGGTCCCAGATTTAAATATGAATACGGTACTTCTTTTATGCTCTGTGTGGGAGCGTTTGCATTGACAGAACTATCTGGTGTTCTCTCCGTATATCTATACATATCGAAGCATAAACATGCGTATCGTAAGAAGCAAGAACAATTAAAGCATCTTAAACGCTTAACTACTATGATAGACTGCAATAGTACGGAGACGCCGTTGACAAACCATACAGCGGCATTGCCACATGGTCACCAGCGTCTCCGACGTGGATCCCGCTCACGTGGGTCATTATCTCGACGAAATTCGCTAAATTCTCGTTCACGTGATCATTCTCCGACGCATTCCGAGACTTATTATACTTATACACCTGTATCTGATCACAATAGTCGTGAGATGTCAAATTTCACTTTACATAAGGACCCATCTAGAAACACACTTGCTACAACAGTTGATACACACATATCTCGTGAACACTCTAGCCATTCAATGGATACCTTAAGGAGAACAACACCTGTGTAACGATTGTCAGTTTTAGAAGATTCAAATCTACACATTTTAAGATGAATCCTCATTATTATAGTCTCAACCTCTACTTTGATTAAGTTTTGAATAAGCATTTTAACGTAGGTTGTGATTAAGTGAAGAAAGATGAAAACGCTTTTCATGGGTTTTGAACCCAGAGTGTGATGGTTTAGCTACTTCGAACATTGTTTGACGAAAATAATTGAAAAATCATTCTCAAATTTTCATCATAACACTAAATCCTTGTGAATAATAAGGGCTTTACCTTGTTTCACGCATATTATAAACCGTTACAAAGAAGTATTAAGCAACTTAAGCATTATTCTAATATAACCTGTCCGAATGTGTGTTTGCATTTCTGATAATTAAAACAATTGGGGTTAACGATCAATACAGAAAATATTGACATAGGTTTTTGATATGGAAAAATATGGAAAAATCGAATCGTTTGATCGTACCGAGAATGTAAACCCTTATAAACCCTTTTGTACGATCCTTGAAAATATAGAACCATGTTGTTCATTAGATCATTGTATGTAAATATATTGGGGGACAATTTGATGGGGCATTTTTGACTTCAACAGTACTCAACAGAGGAAATCACCACTGTCCCAATTCCTTCCTGGTTCCAGTGAAATACAAGAATCCATTTGAGATCAAGTTGCTCACTTACATACAATTGTAAACATGATATGTTTTACAAGATTTGTAATTGTTTTAAAATGATCGAATTACACACAGGTTTTATGACTCATTGAATGATGAGATGAGACGCATAATCTTCCTAATGAAATACAGATTTACGTACACGTTCCCTTCCATAAGTTTGGCAGACGAAAAATCCTCTTTGGATCACATACAAAAAATGTTTGATGATGTAAGAAGCAATCATCAAAGTCATAATTAAGGAGAAATAAGATATTCAAACATTGACAGGAGAGGCTTTAATGTATAATAGGATTCATTTGTATTGATGCCCTAAAGCCAAACGTACATCAACATTAGGGAGTTTAAGCTTGCAATGTTTTTTTCACAACCTAAACTTGATACATTTGTATGGGTGACTGGTCATACGTATAGGTTGGCGTTTCAATTTTATATGCAAGCTTAAACTCCCATATAAAATAAAAAAAACTATATGTGTTATCCAGTAGAAACTTTACTTCCGATTGCTAAACATATGAAGGGGGGTGTATATTGCCTTTTAATATATATGGAAAGGCACACATATTCCATTGTCGTCATTGTGACCACGAATACTATAAAGTTATCACAAAATGTACAGTTTAAATGTGATGGTTGAATGTTTGTATTTTGAAATTATGCAATTTGTATATAACAGTTATAGGTTCTTCATTTTGATAGGTACAATGTACACCATTTAGATGTCGTGGCGTAGCTGTTTGTATGATTCAAATTAACATGATTAAGTTTATGTAAATTCCTATTTTAATCACCGTTCAATGATAAAGTAAAAATGAATAGCAAAATTGCTCATCAATCAAACGTCTCTAACTTGAGCTAGCGGGGTTCATTAAACGGCTGGTAGTGAACATCTTTAGATTCTAGATTACTATTGATTGAATGGCGTTCAGGAAGAAGATATAGTATACTTAAAATTAGACTGCTATTCAAGAAGCTCTATACACACAATAAGTTAAACTAAGGGGATCTTTCGAGTTAATTTATTGGACTAAAAAGCAATTATACCGAGAGTTGATCACTTATATCCTTTGAAGATCGATGCTCATTTTACAAAGTCCAAAAATTGGAAATAATTTGACGTATTAACAAGTTAATAGCTATGGATACCATTAGTCCTTCATTACAAAAAATAAGTCATTATCAAATACCGAATTTATAATTAGCCACTTACTCACACGAAGATGGCAAATTATCCGAAGGTCGTACGAGAGGCCTGTCACTTTTACGTTTTTTATATGAGTAGCTTTTTGAGTCAATTTAGATGGCACATCAGTATTGGTGTAATATGAAGTACTGTAAATATGTTGTAATATCTGTGATGCGTGGAAAAAAGTTTGCCTATAGTTATTCCGTTAAAATTTACCGTAACTGGGATATTTGCAGTCATGGGATACACCATCGTTTACGCTCTAGTGTGAATGTCATTTATTTTGCTAGATATCTATCGACTAAAAAGCTAATTATCTTAAAACATATGAGCATCTTTAAAATTTGCACTTTAAGGACATCCGTTTATAGAACCTTGGCGTTCGCAATTATAAGGCAACCTGATTTTATGTTCGTGCGTTACTCAAGTTGTCAAGTACCGCCTTGGTACCAATATCCCTGTATGTACATTTGTCACTATGGTAACCACATTGTCATCACCATATTTTAATCACCATGGTGTTCACCCATATAATGAGAATACATGCACGTTCTTCACCAACGTTTTAACGCCGTGCACCATTATGGGTTTTATACTCTTTACTTTGACCTTTACCTTGAAATTCATAGCATCAGGTTTTACATGAGTATATCACCAGGATTTTCAGATATGTATCAAAAGGCTTTATGGGACAATCCCAACTCCGCATTGGATCATTTTTTGGGGATAATTCTCTAAAGCCTTATTATGTTCAAGTTTAGCATTCATTTTTTTAATTTGTCAAGCATAAGCAGGCTTTGGCACACGATCCAAATAGAGGATTTGATGTTGCCAAATATTTTTCGGGGGGTGTATTTGCTACAATAATCACGATATTGTTCACACTAACACGTGGTGGAACTCTTCAAACTGTTTTTGCAATCAGATCCGTTTTCGTAACAAAATGTCGCAGCCTCGAGAGGACGATTTTTCTTTTTCCATGTCGTGTCGTAAACTGTTCGTTCCCAAACGATAAATACTGTATTTTCTTAAACAAATGGTGCTGCCAACTTTTTGGAAAATGGTTCCTTGAGATTCTGCCTACATCTCGTGAAATCATGGAAGAGGAAAATCGCAACTTTGAGGCTGTGACATTTTGTAACGGATTCGTATCCTTAACCAGATTAAATAATTCTGCCATGGTTACTAGGAAGGTTTAACTACCATGCGCTTGTATGTCATAGAATGTAAATACAACATAATTGTAAATGGAATATTGTAATAAATTATGAACGAAAATCCAAGAATTTGGATATTACTGTTTATTTTCCTACTGAGAAATCCCCTTGATTTTGCAATAATGGACAAAAATCTACTGGTGTCAGTTCGTCCAAAACCATTTTATCCCAATAGACCTTTCCCAGTAAACACTGCCACCTTTTGGTAATCAAGGAAGCTACGATGTGTCCTATTTGTGATTGAACAAATTGCGACCTCAACCAATAACAATCATAGCTCCTTTGATTGAATAAAAGGCAGTAGGGTATATTGGAAAGGTCTATCGGAACTTGATCTAAGACGACTGTGGGTTGTTAAAATTTTCCATTTGAAGAATAAAGATGTCAGACACATCCAATACAATAGCTTACAGAAGTATTTTGACGGAAATGGAAATATTTCAGAGGTTTCATAAATGTAAGTATTTTAAAATCGTATCTATATTTTACGCAACATGGGATTTTTCAACTAGATTTTGAAAGAAAGTTACGTCCAATCTTATATAAAATATAAAAATATCTATAGGGTGGGCAAAAATGGAACACTAACATATATTTTATATTAAAGAGCAAGTGAACCAAAGTCATGAAAACTGGGACATATAAAGTTTTATAATTTACCTTTCATATAATACTTTTGGTTCATTCCCCCATCCAACCCCCCCCCCCCCCCGATAGCCAGTCGCGGAATCTGTCATTCGGTAGGCTAGTCCGTAAGAAGCGTCTCGATTAATATATACTGTGCCATGTCGATGAGAAAACTCTTCCATCTATTCGTGAACATATATGTTTGCTCTATACTACGTCTACGAGTATGTTCATTTTTCGCGCTTTTGTAATGTCACATCCAAAACACGGTATATAACCCAAACGCTCTTACATGCATCATCACATCTAAAAGAGACTCGACCTGTCAAATTTAAAGAAAGACTTCCACCACACGCGCCACTTAAAAGAAAAGACATTTACAAGAAGAGAAAAATTGCCGCTTATGTTTTTTAACGGACTAAAAACTCTCTAAATGCGCATTTATGCTCTTTTCTCTCGAGAACGACTGTCTAGGATAAAATAAGCATGCCAAACTTTGTGACAAAGAATTTCATCAGCTATTGCCCCGAACCGGTCCGTCTTCTCGCTGCAAGCAGATTGCCCCGAACCGGTCCGTCTTCTCGCTGCAAGCAGGATGAAATTCTTTGTCACAAAGTTTGACATTTTTTATAAAATCAAATGCGCGTCATTGAAACTCACAAGATGTAAATAGCATGTCATTTACATCATACCTTGATGGGGAAAGATAGATCTTATATGTTAGAAGTACTAAATAAAAGTTATCGTGAAAATGAGACAGTCGTTCACGAGAGAAAAGAGCATAAATGCGCATTTAGAGAGTTTTGGTCCGTTTAAAAATCTGTAAAAAATGGGGGTACTTAAAAGCATCGGGAGGCATCATATATTTCAAATTAGACACGAGGAAGTCAATATTGAGCAAGTTATGGCTATTTTAAATTCAAATAAAACCGTTAACCCGTACCGGTCCAGCTTTTGACCCGTACCGGTCAATTTTCGTTAGCTGCGTATACCAAGGGTGGAATTTAAAAGAGATTAAGAACCTGTTGCGTCTTAAAGGTATCGATTTTAATCTTCCGTCACATATTAAAGGGACTCTCAAAAATGTATCATCTCAAAGGAATATATTTTAATTACCTTTCACATTTAAAAGCCCCTATAACTAAATGTCACTGGTAAAAAGGGTCCCCATTATCTGTCACATATGAAAAGGGACTTCCATTTCATCTAAAATGGACTTTATCTTTCACATTAAAAAGTAACCGGAAGTTCATTTCGCATATAAAAAGGAAGTTTCATCACCTTTCACTTTTGACAAAAGAACGTTAACATCTATTGAGAGACATTTCATAACCTGGTACATACAAAAGAGAGCTTATCTTCCATTATCTATAAAAATTACTTATTTAATTCATATCTGGAAAAAATAGGTTTGTATAATGTATATTCATTCAGGTTTCCATAGTTACCAGTATACAGTATCATTAATGAATTGCTTCCTTTGATAAATACAATTCCCTATTTACTTTTTTTAATAACATAAATAAACATTGATTATTATAATCATAGAAATGAATAAGAATGTCAAATATTGCATCGATTAAACGAACGGAGACACTTATTCATATGAAGTCACGTCTTCGATGACTGATCATGTTCAGAGATGCGATGTTTGAACAGGTGTAAATACAATGCGCAACAGATAACGTTGATCCATGGATGCTTGATCACGCCGTGTGGGAATAAGCGCAGAGGTAATAAGCGCAGATCTCGCTAAATCAACTAGATTAATACGGATTGTTCCCAATGGGCACTAAACCATGGAATGTCACTTAAGAGAGATGTGAGATGATGAAGCTCCATCATAAGCGTAATAAACGATCATATCTCTAATACATGTGGATAATATCAGAGATGAAGAAATATAGATACACTCAGTGGGTGTTTAATATATAGGACACCAGACACCATTCCGTTAGATGTTACTGAAAACTAGCTACATGTACCTACCAACCATGTTTTACCTAGAAAGTACATAATGCTTATTGTACAGACAGTCGACTTCGATCAACACAATGGATATCTAATATTGAAAGCACAATATTTTTTTTAAATATAAAAAACTAATATAACATGAATCCAGCTAGTCTAAATTACACAAGATGCGTCCCGGATTGATTTCGATTATATAGCGACCTGGAAAAGAATATGCGCTTTGCACATGCGCAAGGCCAATCCAATTCAAGTTACCATATTAAGAAATAAATAAGGATTTCATACTATGTGGAACAGTCCGGCGTCGGACAATTTAATTGTACTAATTGCAAAAATGGCCGGCCATCACAATTTATCAAATGAGACATGATGAACCTTCTCATTGTTTTGAATTATCGATAATGAACCATCACCCTGATAAAATAATCTAAGGGGGATAAAAACGTTTTTCATTTCTGAAATTAGCTGTATACAGGGCACATATTTCCCCCTGTTGACCCCGGCCGCTATTGGACTGTCCCAGTCTAATTTTTCAATTTTCATTATTTAGATTATCGGTCTGGTCTGCTCGAAGAAAGAAATATTGTTTGTCAAACAGCTACCAGAGACTAACTCTTGATTTCAAGCCAGATGCTCCAGAATGAATGATAGACATAGGCGGATAATCATTTAATCTCCGTGTACAAAAGCAATCTCAAATAAACATACAGGAACTTGATGCTCTGGTTCTATTTTTAGAGCAATGTGGCAACGCATTTTTATCGTCTCTAGCTTAGTCATTCTCAAATACTAACTCCTTTCAGACATCAAATATGAATTGTGATCCTCGTCGCTTTTAAGGGGCGTGCTGTTGTTCAGTCTCAGATACACATAACAGCACGGTATCACTGAATATCGAAAGGGCTAAAATTACAGTTTTTCTTGTTCTGTATTATCTGTAATCAGGCAGGACGGTATCAAACCTAACCATATGTTATGGGAGAGTTTACCAGGACTAGTACAGCACCAGGAAATATCAACCTATTGTTGGAACTATTCTCATCACATCGTCGTGCAAGTATCCTAATATAATTTTGATGCCGAGTCTCACGATTATCCATTAGCCGGAATTACAGTTTTTCAATTTGCCTTTTTGACGTGATAATGCACTTTGGCCCGCGAGGGAGCTACCGGGTCCGAAGTAACAGTAGCCGACACGGGTGTAAACCGCATAACTTAACGAAATAAGCGCCATGAAAAGAAAGCAAAAATGTAGACATAAACCTGAGGGCAACACAACGTTCCTTGGTTTTAGCTACAAACAGATTTAGAACGCCGCACCAGAAACACAAGCTCTGCTTGTTGAAGCTATCACTCTTGGTTTGTCTATACAGGTAAAGCAGAACATACAAGTTACTTGGGTAGCTGTTAGTCGTACAATGTGATTTTGTATCTTAATTGGACGGATCAAACAAGGATTATCATATCTTAAAATGCAAGTGCCATGACCTGAGACAAGATACCGAAAAAACTAAAAAGGGACCTACTAAAATAACACCAGATGCTGGATTACAAACAGTAGATCATTTCGAAGTACACCAAAAACTCTGCAAAATGAAGTGGCGTAGGGAAAGTAACAAACTGCCTTGGGACAGTGTCAAATTTGATAGGAGATTACTTACTGTGATGACAGGTTTGACCTCGTTCGCCATTCTTATTATGATTATAGCAGTGGGGACAGATTATTGGATAGTACTGACAATCCCGGGGGGAGCGTGGAGGAACTCAACTCAAATGTTCGTGACGGGGACAATCTCTGGTCTCTGGAGAATATGTCGGAAGGAAGTAGACAACTTCAAAAATCCGACAACCTCGCGTAAGTTAAAACACAATCTATTATACTCAATACATAATATCAAATTGCTATGCAAGAGTACATCCCACATAATAACTATATACCATCTCCCTAGTATCCCCTTCCATAAACCACAAGGCCCATTGCGTAATGTTCCCGATTAGAAATAAACATTCCTTCACATAGTATATATTCCCTCGCAAATGATGCACCCCCATTCATAAATAACAAGTTAACAATAACTGTTTCCGGGATGCATGTCTGTCAACCCAATTCAGATTGTCCATCATCCCATTGTCAATATCAGTCAGGTTTATTATCGATCTGGTATTATATTATTATAAAAAGCAAGTACATCTCAACACTGTGCTGAACATCATACGCAATATAATAGAATACACTATCTCTAGTACATGTTTTACCAGCTGTTAGTCAAGACCGTCTGGTTATGATAATCGTTCCTGTGAATCTGGAAACAGGAGTTGAGAGCTCAAGGTTTCAAAATAAGCAGATAGTTGAAATTTGTTTTTTCACCATGTTCACATTCATAAAATGATAGTATGAGTGGGTAACAGAAAATGTTGTGTATGCATTCTAACAATTAAGTAAAGAGTAAATAAAGAAACTATCAAAAACATATACAGAAAAGGGAACATGACGAAAAACACCAACATCCCAGCATTTGATATTTATTTTATTATTTTATATCTATTTTTATATCTATTTTTATTGTTTATTTCTTTGCTTAAAAAGTGTTACCTAAACTACATGACACGCATATTGTGTTCTCGTTGTCCGGATAGAATATACAGATTTTAAACAGGGAGCGAGATATTCTTGTAAGAGGGAGTTAATCCAATTTAAGATTCAATGATCCACCCCTAAATTGCAACAGCACCGTAAAAAATTAGCAGATGCAGAATAACAGAATTACGTCAAAAATACTTAAAATCTGATCTGGATACCAGTAGGAATAACTTGCAAACAGAGAGGTACATGTAGAAAGTACGAAATGAACCTCAGTTAAAAACGTCGAACTTTACTCGCTTCAAATCTCCGATCATACTCCTAAATAACTTTCCCGATCACAAAAACTTAATTGAAAGATGTCGATCAAGCTGCATGAGAGATACATGTTTTAAACATCACCACTCTCTTTCCAATCTCCCTCGGGGGACGTAGGGCTAAAATAGCTATAGCGTGAATATGTCTCTTTGCCTAATGATAAACAATGTACACCTCCCATCAAAAGTTTGGTTATTCCAACACTGATCAATTGGACAACTTGTTTGAGTTTCCTGTTGAAATCCTCAATATTATACAATACGAATATAAAATCAGAGACAAATATTCTTTTTCAAATAAGAAAAACATACGGGACACAAAACACATGATCCAAACGGTTAGTCGGTCCTGGCCTGCTAGATTTTTGGAGGGGAGTACAGTGATAATTCATGTATGCTTGAAGAGAAAACTCAGATTGCAAAATGCGCTCAGATAACCAAGGTCGGCGTGAACAAAACTATTAACTGCTCATAAATTCTATATTACGTAATTGACTGCATATATTTTAAATATGAATCAATAAAAGAGCAATAATAGGATAAAATTAAAATAAAACAGAATGCAGTAGTCGGGAATAAGATAATGGATAGCTAGAAATGATTATACATACACAATTCAAAAAATTCATTGTGTTGAGGGTGAGAGATATTGTTGACAGGTCTAAAATACGGGCAGATACAATAGGCCTAGATTAGAATTAAACCGTTCAAATAAATCCTGGCTCATTTTGATAAAGCATTGAAACTTGGGTATTGGCTGGTTTAGAAATGTGATACATAAGAAGATTCACATTGATCCTATCATAACTGAGATAAATATTCCAAAATTAGAGTGTTGTATTTTTGTGTCATCCTGTACAATCGAAATACCCGAAGTTTCGCAAGAACGTCGTCATAAGATGCTTAATCAGCATTTACCAGTATTAGTTGATATTGATGATTCATTTTTACTTCAAACACTGAATGTTAGTCACACATCGAGTGCTAGAGTTACCTATCACGCATTGTGATTTTGTCAGTAAGTCATGCAAAACGAAGTTTACAAATGTTATTTGACTATGGCAATCATAAAAGTACCTATTGATGACTTGTACAATTTAACAAGAGAGAAAGCCTACATAGGGAATGGTGAGCCACATTCTTCTCCGTTCTTTCCATTACTTCAAAATATCAATTTAAAATAAACAAGCGTTTTGCTATAAATATCAATGCGTATTCTATCAGCACTGTACGATGTGGTCCTTCGATTGCATATTTTTAGAAATTATATACTTTCATCACTTTCACCACTTTTATCACTGCCTGGGGCTGTATGTTCTCTGTATGTGTATGTAAATGGATATTAATTTCGCTTGAAAATGTCAAGCATTATGACTAACCTCAAGGGGGATTGGATTCGACCTTGACCTTGATCGACGACAATATTTCCTGACATATAACTGACTATAAATTCATAATCAGCAATCCAAAATATTTGAACAAATACTTTGATCGATTCATGTGTGTTTTGAATGATTTTGTTTGGAAATAAGACCAAAACTCGCAATTCAAATCCTGAAGTGAAAAAATGGCGGTTGTTCGATTTTAAATTTTGGAATGACGACTTAATGGCAAATATCGAGTTGGAACCCTTAGAGCCATTCCTCGCCTTTACTTCATATATTGGAGGCAACGCAGTGGCAATTGTGAACCCTTTGGAGGGGTTTGATTAAAACTAATGAGCTCATGAACGTTTCGAGGAATGAGATGATTCGATTATTAGGAGCCATTGTTCTGTTTTACTGCCAACTGCCATCTTAATTAAACTATTCTAGACTATACATTATATAATCCATTGTTTATCAATAGGCCGTGATTGACTCTTTGTGGATGCACTAATGCCTTCTCTTCCAATCTCCCATAGAAAATATCACTCGTATTACTTGATGAACGGATATTATAGAACCGGATTTATTGTCCCGCTTCAATACGTGCCTAATTGACCCTAATTGTGTATTAACTAATAATGAACACCGTTTAGATTACGCTACTATGAATGGAGGAAGGCAAAATTCCATCCTTCGAGATCGGGCTTCGCTGATATAGCAGCTCTGGAACATGGAAAGAATTGAAATACCCTTGGACCAAGGACACTGGTGATCCACTCGATTACGCTGGTTACCCAAACGGTTCGTTTTGGTAACAAAATGTCGGAATATCGAAGTGTCCCACGACATTTTTAACACAAACTTGTATCAGTATCATATGTTTAAGAAAATGTACATATTTGCGAACAAATAGTTCAGAAGACAACAGAATCGTCGATTTAATTCCTCACTTGAGTTACATAAACTGTTTTTCGAAAAACGGTTAAGATCTGCACTCTCAACCCAAACCGTTTATGTAATTTAAGTGAGGAATTAAATCAACGATTCTGTTGTCTTCTGAGCTATTTTTCGCAAACATGTACATTTTCTAAAACATATGATGCTGATACACGTTTGTGAGAAAAAAACGTCGTGGGGATTCTGCCTACAACGCGTGAAATAAGGAAAAAAGAAAAATCGTACCTTGGACGTTCCGACATTTTATTACCATAACCAGCGTAATCGAGCGGATCACCAGTGGAGAATGAACATTTCCAATATAGGGCATACATTTTCCATCTCAAATTCCACAAGGAAGAGTATGTGGGCGAAGGATTGGTATCGATATGGAGAACTGAATTCAACAATGTTTTTCTCTTTAACCAATTATTGAAAACAATCTTTAAAAACACGGTCCGTTATGTAATGTTAACTGATTGACAACAATTTGATGCGAAAATAATTTATATATATTTTATATAAGTATTTTGTTAACATTTTTTGTTTTTTAGTGCAATTGCTTTTTGTTCCTTTTCTTTTTTTTACCATTTCTTGAGAATGAAATGAAACATCTTTCCGAAGCTTGTTTGCATAAAATAGCATATACAACATTTCCTTAGACTTCCCAACATTATAGTTATACAAAGGAAATTTTGGTTAAAAATAACAAAAAGCATTCAAAAAAATAAAACAAAAACCCCCGAAATAGATAAAAACTAAGATAAACCTTTAATTTCATTAACAAGATACTTATTTTAAATCAACCAAACTTTCTTTTGTATAATAACAATAGTGTTTATGTCATTTTGTTCCAATGAGGTTCGGATAGATGTTTCATTTCATTCCGAACATTTGATACCAAGAACAAAAGAAGTGTCCGATGTGTTTTCTAAAACAATATAGAGAAAAGTATATATATCTATTTCAAATTATATTGTTACCATTCAAAAGATGACCATTAAATTGACAATGTGTAAAATTTTCAGATTTTTTTGGTGACTTGTTCAAGTGAAACGTGTGTTCAAAAAGTTCGCCATATCGATACCCATCCTTTACGATAATTGATATTTTTGGACCAAAACTCAAGATTTTCGTATAAAAACTCAGACAACATAAAAATAATCATGTGCTTCAATAATTTCTAATTTGTTAATAAAGTATATTTGCAACCAGCTCTTGAAAGGGGGTTGTTTGATATTTCATGCTCGTAAAACAGAAAACATCTTATTATGTCCATATGATTTGTATCCTCCAACACACTTCTTATATAAACGTTGTTGATAGGTTGTTGATGGATAGTTTGTTGAAAGCTTCGCCAGAAAGTGCCTTTAGGGGTTACTTTTTAAATGACAGACAACGAAAACATCAGACGAAATATTGTTATTTTTATGGTGAATTTAGGTTTTGCTGTCCAATATTGTATATCTTCTAAACAGTCAGATTTCAGCTACACACCGATACGATTTCTAAAAATTATTTTGGAAATGAAACTAATCCAATGTAGTATTTAAATGATTATTATATAAATTCTTAATTATATCTAGTTTCTTATAGTAAATTGAATGTGTTGAGTATGTTTTGGAGGATACAAATCATATGGACATGATAAAAC